GTACTTTGCATCAGTCTTTGGGACAAACTTTACCCACAAATGGTCTACTTTGTGCATGCCTCAAAATGAGGTTAATGATTGGAAAACTGGATTGACTCCAATCTTTTAGGAAATCAGGTCTTGACACCATGATCATATGATTTGGATGGAATTCTACCCTTACTTAAACATACATTAAAAATACACATTAAATAGTCCCATTTGTCATAATGTAATCTACTTTATTTGTAGAGACTAAAAAGGGCATTTTTAATTGTAGGCATTGCAATTAATGTGTTAACGACAATCATAGTTCCTAAGGTCTGTATCTATAAAGAAATTAGAGACAATCATAGTTCCTAAGGTCTGGATCTATAAAGAAATTAGAGCTAGGTAAAAACAATAAATAGAAATTTTGGGCAGATCACACTACATATTTTTCTTGAAAAATGACCTACTTTTGTTTACATCATCATGAGACTGGAAAGGGGGAAGGGAGAGTTGGAGTATGGGAACTCCAAAGCAAATATTTAGACTGTTATGGCATCAGAAAGCAAAACTTAGAATCCAGTTGTCCTTTCCTCAGTGTAATAGGGTGAGAGATAAGAGGGTTTAGAGATATAAGGGAAAAAAACCCTAACAGAATGGAAAGTATCTATAATATACTATTACCTAAAGCAGTATACTCTGTCATATTTTTTAGTGGAAAATACAGAACAAGGGCTGAAAGGTAACAAGCATAAATTAAAAGACAGGAAATGATGAAATAATGTTGTAGGTACTTTATGTTTTGAATTTCCCTTATTTTAATAACTATTTACAATAGTTAAAGAAACATTAAAATAAAGAAAAATAAATAATATATTTAAAAGACTTTACACAAACTAGGCACTCAAATCTATGTAGCTGCCTTGATAACAGGCAGAACGCATGTGTCTGAAATTCTCCTTTGAGTAGTGAGAGATTGTATTCTAATTCCCATTTAAGGACAGAAGAGCTATAATCATATTGCGAATCCCCATGACCTTGGCAAGACTCTCCTCTTCTCCAGTTATGTATCTTCCACATTAGAGGAAAGCAGAACCCAAGGGAATGATTTTCCAGTGTTGTTTCCAGTTGATTTTAATGTGAATATTTGCTGAGCATTTATTAAATGCCAGGTATTGTGCTGATGCAAAACAAACCATTGTCTGACCTCTAAACACTCTATTCCATTAAAAGTATGTGTTTTCTTGTCTATATGTAACTTAGTACTTATACTCACAAAATGGTAAGTATGATGAAGTTAGCCCAAAGAAAGGGCACTTTTCTGAACCAGGATTGTAGAATAACACTTTCTGGAAAATAAAGCTTTAAAACTTAGACTTTTTACATAACTAGATAAAGTAAGGTAAGGGCAATGGAAAGGTGTTCTAGGCATAAGACGTAGCATTTGAAATGACACATAGGAATGAAATAGCAGGATATTTGGAGAATTAGAAGTTTTTCTACATTTATGAAGCTTTAAGAATGGGGTGGAGAGGACGAGTGGTGACAGATGGTATCAGCTGGAAGCAGTTCATTAAGAACTATAAATTCGATGTTCAGGTGTATTGTATCCAAAGAGGAACTATTAGAAGGCTTTATGCAAGGATGTGATATGGCTACATGGGTTTACATCACTCTAACAACAAAGTGCAGTGTATATTTACATGTGATTGGCCAGGAGGCAATTTAGATACTCTAGGAGACAGAGGGTAAAGCTTTCATCCACTTTGACAGAATAGTATAAAATAAGGAGAGAACATCTTTCAGAAAAAATTTAGGAGACAGAGTTGGCAGAAATTGTTGATTGTTGGCTGTTTGGGATTATAGAGAAGGAATAGTCTAGGGTGACTCAGGATCCCAATTAGATGAGTGGGTGATTTTACCAGTCTCCCATCTAAAGTCCTATGATAGAGAAGGAACAAAACAAAATGCTTACAGCATCTGTAAATCTGTTACAGATCGACTATGCCCACTGCCATCATAGGAGCAGACACTGTGAGATTCAAAGCCCAGCTAAAGGGAAAAACTTCCTTATACTCACATGGACCAATCTTTTCCAGTCTCCTCTTAATTCTACCCTATATGCCCTGACACAAACCATTGTCTGACCTCTAAACACTCTATTCCATTAAAAGTATGTGTTTTCTTGTCTATAAGTAACTTAGTACTTATACTTACAAAATGGTAAGTATGATGAAGTAAGCCCAAAGAAAGGGCACTTTTCTGAACCAGGATTGTAGAATAACACTTTCTGGAAAATAAAGCATTAAAACTTAGACTTTTTACATAACTAGATAAAGTAAGGTAAGGGCAATGGAAAGGTGTTCTAGGCATAAGACGTAGCATTAGAAATGACACGTAGGAATGAAATAGCAGGATATTTGGAGAATTAGAAGTTTTTCTACATTTATGAAGCTTTAAGAATGCGGTGGAGAGGACGAGTGGTGACAGATGGTATCAGCTGGAAGCAGTTCATTAAGAACCGTAAATTCGATGTTCAGGTGTACTGTATCCAAAGAGGAACTATTAGAAGGCTTTATGCAAGGATGTGATATGGCTACATGTGTTTACATCACTCTAACAACAAAGTGCAGAGTATATTTACATGTGATTGGCCAGGAGGCAATTTAGATACTCTAGGAGACAGAGGGTAAAGTTTTCATCCACTTTGATAGAATAGTATAAAATAAGGAGAGAACATCTTTCAGAAAAATTTAGGAGACAGAGTTGGCAGAAATTGTTGATTGTTGGCTGTTTGGGATTATAGAGAAGGAATAGTCCAGGGTGACTCCCAGGATCCTAATTAGATGAGTGGGTGATTTTACCAGTCTCCCATCTAAAGTCCTATGATAGAGAAGGAACAAAACAAAATGCTTATAGTATCTGTGAAATCTGTTACAGATCGACTATGCCCACTGCCATCATAGGAGCAGACACTGTGAGATTCAAAGTCCAGCTAAAGGGAAAAACTTCCTTATACTCACATGGACCAATCTTTTCCAGTCTCCTCTTTATTCTACCTATATGCCCTGACCCCCTGGCAAAGAGTAAGCTCTGAATGAAATTTACTATACGAGGTATGCCACCTCCATCAAGGGGGCATCAGGAGACCATGACAGGACGTTCTAATATTAGGATTAACAAGGGAATTAGATTGAGTCTTCAGATTTAAGTCAGTTGTTTCTATCATTGTCCATTAGTCACATAAGCCACTAATGTATAGTCATCCTTTCAGGCACATATTATGAAACCATCTTATCTGGAAGTCATCCAATACTCCTGTTATGTCCTAGGTGTCTATCAGATTTTTAAAAGTATTTATTTTATAAATTTTGCTAGAAAAATGTCCATGTCTTAAATAACTGTGTTATTTAAAATTTAAATGTACAGGTCATTCCACTCCATATTAAAGATACTTAGGGAGAGTCATACATCTATCAGTACAAAATACTTATAAAATAAACACATATTGTTGAATGAATGAAGTGAAAATTAGTCTTATATTTTAAATTTAATATTTTTAAAACCGAAATACCAAAGTAAACTTAACATCAACATTTAGTTATGAGATAATTTATTGTGTTGTGTTCCCAATAATTATCAAATGGAAGTGCACCAACACCTAAATAAAATGAAAAAATAAACCATCATTTGGTGAATAGAACTCTTAAGAGTTAGTTGTATTTCTGTGAATTGAACTGCTCATATTCACTTGAGAATGTGATAATGATCCCTTGTGCTTTTGAATTCACATTTGATTCTGCAGAATGCTCAGAGATTTATCCCCCAAAGAGAACAATAATAAAAGCTAGCATGGCTGCTGTATAAAAACAAGGACTTGGAATTTATTACTGTAAATGAATAAATTCTTATTTCAAGAGGTAAGATTTTGGCTTTTATTAGTGAATATTATGTGTCACTTGTCCTTTACCATTTGAGACAAATGTATTCTCTAATATTGTATGTATACTCACAAGCTATAGTTGAGAAACAGGATCGACGTAATCAGGCAGTCAGTTAGCAGGTAACCTTAGCTGAATTAAATTTCCACAGTCTATTTGGTGTGAATAAACAGGCATATTTCAATTTTCCAAGATTCCTCTTTTATCTTCCCATAAGAACAGAAACTCACATAGTTTTTCATCACTATCTAAATTTGGCACTCAGCCATAATGATAATAAATTCACTAGTTTTAAAATTCTTTGAGAGCTTACTATCAGTACATATCTGTGGAAAGACCCTTTTTGTGTATTAGTCTAAACACTCCAGCATCACAGTCAACTGGATGCTTTGGACAATGACAAACATATAAAACCAGAAAACTTGGAGAAGAGGGTCAAACTGACCATTAGCTAGGTAGCCCTGGGTAAACAACTTTTTATGCTGAAACTTTATTCAGCTGTATATTATGTACAAAATAGTATTATTTCATTCTACAATACTTCAATTAGAAAACATTGTTACATTAGGAAATGATTTGATTGGTTTGAATAAATGTCCTGTAGCTATGTTCTGAATATTAGTCATGAACAATTTTGCAACACTGATTACACTGATATTACAAACTACTTAATATAACAATATTGTAATTAAAACATAGAAAGACACCTTACACACAAACACAGTCATGTGCCTAATAATGACTTTTTGGTTAATGGCAGACCTCCTATAGCATGGTGGTACCATGAAATTATAGCTGTGAAGCAAACTATATCATCTAGGTTCGTGTAAGTACACTCTATGATGTTCACCCAATAATGAAATCACCTGATGATGCATTTCTCAGAACATATTTCTGTGATTGAGCAAGGCATGACTGTACGTAAATAATGGGACTATAAAATAATGAAAAAAGTTTTAGTCCAAACTTTACTTGAATTATATTTTTTTATGATAACTTCCATGAAAGTATTAAGAAAAATAAAATCATCAAATTTATAACTTCTTTAATATACTGTCTTCATCACAGGTTCTGGTATCAGCTTCATTGATCATGGATTACCCAGTGAATGGGAACCACACTGCAATGACTGGGTTCATTTTATTGGGCTTAACAGATGATCCAGTCCTTCGAGTCATCCTCTTCGTGATCATTCTATGCATCTACCTGGTGACCTTATCTGGCAATCTCAGCACAATCGTTCTTATCAGA